CTTCCCGCTGAGCAGGGAGCCTGATGCGGGGCTCAATCCCAGGACTCTGGGGCAGACGCTCAACGACTGAGCCACCCAGGCGCCCCTGGGGAAAGGTTTCTGCCACAGTTGTGTAGGCTCGGGGTAGGGAAGAGAATCCTGGGAACGAGTTTCTTCTTTATTAAATAGACCTTTCAGTGAGTCCTCCTGTTTTTAGCCCCACCTTCACCTCCACTTCTTGAGTTACCTGGTTGTGCAGGTTCCTGAGCCTTTGGGGTGCTCTCATGTAAACCGGGTTGCCTCTCAGCTTACCTGGCCGCCAGGTAGGACTTGGTTTCTTGGGTCTGCTGAGCCAAATCCCCCCATCCATGTGCTTTTCTGCTTCTTAAGGGGTTTTTGTTTGGTTGGTTGGTTGGTTGGTTGGTTGGTTTTTGTAGTTTTGGGTCTTCTCTCGAGATCTCTTTGTTCTTGGCAGTTTATGCTTAAGCAACAAAACGAAATTGTACTTGTTTTATTTAGTAGGCCTTCATGAGGGAGCAAATGTAAATGAGTGTGTTATATCTGCCATCTTTAACTGGAAGTCCCTAAGTTTTTCATTTTGCTGTTCTTTTTCTTTTAAATTATATGTAGATATTTATTAGGTTTTTCTTAATGACAGTGTTTTTACACATACTTTTTTCCATAAATGTAAGGGCTTTGGAGGAAGTTTTTTATTTTTTCTGAAAGGCATCCTCAGTATTTTTAGGAGCTGTGTCATAATATTCCACATTAATAATAACGGTAGCATTTATTGAGCCCTTACTGTGTGCCCTGTCCACCATATACATGCTTTACGGGGGGTCATCCCGTTTGATGCTCCATTATACCCCCCATTGTAAAGAGAGACTCCGAGGCCCCCAGATAGTGTCTCCTGCGGAAGGTCACCCACTGGTGAGTGGCAGAGCTGGGGCTACTGCAGGATAAACAACACCGTCTCCCCCAAGTTTACCGCCATTCCGCTCTCAGTCCCTCTTGCACCCCAGACCACTTTCCTTCTGCCCTAAGTACAGCTTTGGAATTTCATGTGGAGATCTGCTGGTGACAAACTTTCAGATTTTGATTGTCTGAAGCTACCTGTATCTCACCCTCTTTCTCAGAAGATACTTGCATTGCGCATCTGAGCCGGGCTCGCTGCTTGTTATCTTTGAGCACAATGAGGACATCGTTCCATCCTCTGCCTCTCTCTGCCCCCCAGAGCTCTGGCAGCAGCCTGGGCTGGGGGCTCTGGTGGCCCTTGTCTGTCCGGGCTGGGACATGCATGTTTCTCACAGAAGTGTGTGACATCACCGGGGTGTATCACACGCTTCAAGTGCACTGGGGCTGAGAAGCCTTTTTAGCTGGGCACAGGAGCCCAGCTGGTACATGGAACACGGTCTCTATTCAGAAATGCATCTCACAGTTTTAAAGCTGTGTCTAATTTTTAAAAGGAATACTTTTTTGTATGATGATATAAATGATGAAAATCTAAAAGTTACAAAGAGGATTGAGGAAAAAGTCAACCTCCAGGGCCCTGGTTCCCTTCCATGAGGCAGTGGTCTCTGGCTCTATGCATCTCCCAGAGACCACCGGTGCATCTGTAAGCATATGTTCTTATACCCTAGGAAGCTTGGTTTCTGTTGTTCAACGTAGTACTGGAAGTCCTAGCCTCAGCAATCAGACGACAAAAAGAAATAAAAGGCATCTAAATTAGCAAAGAAGTCAAACTTTCACTCTGCGTAGACCACATGATACTCTATGTAGAAAACCCCAAAGACTCCACCCAAAACTTGCTAGAACCGTACAGGAATTCAGCAAAGTCACAGGATATAAAATCAAGGCACAGACGTCAGTCATTTCTACACACTAACAATGAGACAAAAGAAAGAGAAATCAAAGAATTGATCCCATTTACAATTGTACCAAAAACCATAAGATACCTAGGAATAAGCCAAACCAAAGAGTTACAGGATCTGTACTCTGAAAACTATAGAACTATAGAACTATAGAACTTATGAAAGAAATTGAGGAAGACATAAAGAAATGGAAAAACATTCCATGGTCATGGATTGGAAGAACAAATACTGTTAAAATGTCTATGCTACCCAAAGCAATCTACACATTCAATGCAATCCCTATCAAAATACCAATAGCATTTTTCATAGAGCTGACTCAAATAATCCTAAAATTTGTGTAGAACCACAAAAGACACTGAATAGCCAAAGGAATGTTGAAAACTAAAGCTGGAGGCATCACAATTCCGGACTTCAAGCTCTATTACAAAGCCAACAGTGTGGTACTGGCACAAAAACAGACACATAGATCAATGGAACAGAATAAAGAATCCAGAAATGGACCATCAACTCTATGGTCAACTAATCTTTGACAAAGCAGGAAAGAATATCCAGTGGAAAAAAAAGACAGTCTCCTCAATAAATGGTGCTGGGAAGATTGGACAGCCACATGGAGAAGAATGAATCTGGACCATTTTCTTACACCATGCACAAAGATAAACTCAAAATGGATGAAGGAACTAAATGTGAGACAGGAATCCATCAAAGTCCTAGAGGAGAATACAGGCAGCAACCTCTTTGACCATATGATTTCACTCATATGACCTCAGCCGCAGCAACTTCTTTCTAGAAACATCGCCAAAACACTACATCAAAAACTAATGATGTAATGTATGGTGATTAACATAACAATAAAAAATTTAAAGGAAAAAAATAGAAACATCACCAAAGGCAAGGGAAGCAAGGGCAAAAATGAACTACTGGGACTTCATCAAGTTAAAAAGCTTTTGCACAGCAAAGGAAACAGTCAACAAAACTAAAAGGCAACCTACAGAATGGGAGAAGATATTTGCAAATGACATATCAGATAAAGGGCCAGTATCCCAATCTATAAAGAACTTATCAAACTCAACACCCAAAAAACAAAAATCCAGTCAAGAAATGGGCAGAAGATATGAACAGACATTTTTCCAAAAAAGACATACAGTGGCCAACAGACACATGAAAAAGTGCTCAACATCGCTCGGATCAGGGAAATACAAAACCACAAGGAGATCCCATCTCACACCGGTCAGAATACCTAAAATTAACAAGACAAGGAACAACAGATCCTGGCGGAGGATGTGGAGAAAAGGGAACCCTCTTACACTGTTGGTGGGAATGCAAACTGGTGCAGCCACTCTGGAAAACAGTATGGAGGTTCCTCAAAAAGTTAAAAATAGAGCTACCCTGCAACCCAGCAATTGCACTACTAGGTATTTACCCAGAGGCTGCAAACACAGTGATCCAAAGGGGCACATGCACCCCAATGTTTATAGCAGCAATGTCCACAATAGCCAAACTATGGAAAGAGCCCAGATGTCCATCAACAGTTGAATGGACAAAGATATGGTATATATATACAATGGAATATTTTTTTTTAATTTTTATTTATTTGACAGAGAGATAGTGGGAGCAGGAACACAAGCAGGGAGAGTGGGAGAGGGAGAAGCAGGCCTCCCGTGGAGCAGGGAGCCCAATGTGGGGCTCGATCCCAAAACCCTGGGATCATGACCTGAGCCAAAGGCAGATGCTTAACGATTGAGCTACCCAGGTGCCCCTATATACAATGGAATATTATGCAGCCATCAAAAGAATGAAATCTTGCCATTTGCAACGACATGGATAGAGCTAGAGGGTATTATGCTAAGCAAAATAAGTCAGAGAAAGACAAATACCATATGATTTCACTCATATGTGGAATTTAAGAAAACAGATGAACATAGGGGCAGGGTGGGAAAAATAAAATCAGATGAAAATTGAGAGGGAGACAAACCATGAGACACGGGACTCTAGAAAACAAACTGAGGGTTGCTGGAGGGGAGGGGGGTTAGGGGGATGGGGTTACCGGGTGACAGGCATTAAGGAGGGCACGTGATGATGGGTGCCCAGGTGGCTCAATTGGTTAAGCCACTGCCTTCGGTTCAGGTCATGATCCTGGAGTCCCGGGATCGAGTCCCGCATCAGGCTCCCTGCTCAGCAGGGAGTCTACTTCTCCCTCTGACCCTCCCCCCTCTCATGTTCTCTCTCTCTCAAATAAATAAATAAAATCTTAAAAAAAAAAAAGGAGGGCACATGATGTAATGAGCACTGGGTGTTATATGCAACTGATGAATCACTAAATTCTACCTCTGAAACTAATAATAATAATAAAAAAGGCATGGTTTACACTTACTCCTTGAGTATCTTGCAGGGTAATGACTACATAGTATTCCATTTAATAGATGTTTAATAGATATTCAGCTCAGTAATTCAATATTTAGGTTACTTCTAGCTTTTTAGTAGTTGGTTTTTAAGTTAAATGTTGGAGCACTACCCATTCGTAAACTAGGGATTGCTTATAATGAAACAGATTTTTTTATTTCTTTACACAAAAAAGAAGCAGAAATTCAAAGTAGCTTGTCTGCACTGAGGTTGAATTTTAGGGTATCTGTGGAAAACAAGTTATTGAGGCAATCATTTGGGGTTTTCCTTTCTAGATTATGAATATTACAAAGTAACTTCAAAATACTTAATTTGAGACTAAAAGTATTGGAAATAAATGTCAAAACAAGGACCAACATGAAAATAATAAGCAAATTTAAGCCTTGGGCTGTCTAACTTTCTTCCTAATGTGTTCCTAATGTCTTACATTTTTTACTATAAAAAAGCACGGTTATTCTTTCATACCTTAAAATTATGAGTTGCAGGATTTTTAAACACCAGATTCCTTAAAAGTGAGGTAGTATAGTTTTCTCTCGAAATTTACTGCCTTCACATTAGCTTGCACTGTGATTAAAATCAGAATGCAAGGACCTGTATTTTCTTAGAGAATTAGTTGTTACTTAACACCGTAAGCTGTCCATTAAAGATCTTTCATGAGTCTGTTCCTTTTGTTTTCTAGAATAGCCTGTGTGAGCGCCCCCAGTGTTTACCAGAAACTGAGAGCCCTACACAGAGAAGACTTCTCTGTATACATCTTTGAATATGACAAAAGATTTGCTATATATGGAGAGGAGTTTATCTTCTATGATTACAATAATCCATTGGATTTACCTGAAAAAATTGCTGCACGTAGTTTTGACATCGTAATAGCAGATCCCCCCTACCTTTCCAAGGAGTGTCTCAGAAAAACATCAGAAACCATCAAGTATCTGACGCAGGGCAAGATTCTGCTGTGCACAGGTAGGTGCCTGATTGTGCGTCTCAGGAATATTGATGACGGGATATTCCAGCCTTAGGTTTCAGGAGTTGGAAGAGATTTCAGAACCCAAAGCCTGAATCCACCTACTGTGTGACCCTACACAAGTTGCATAACCTCTCTGTGCCCGGGTTTCCTTATCTGTAAACTGGGACTGGTAATACTACCTGCCTTTCAGCGTTACTGGAATTAAGTGATATGATACACGTAAGGTGGGGTCTCGCCCTTGGTGAGTGGGCTGTGTTATTTTTACTCCTCATCAGGAATAGTAGCAGTATTTGATCCAGCCTCTATACTTGATGAAAGAGAAACGTGGAATCGATAATGTTAAAATGAATTGCCTAGGGTTACAGAGCTAGACATTGGATTAGATTTATTTAATCAGCAGAAGAGTTTTCTTACTGGTGAGAGTTATGTACTTCCTGAAGGTGGATATTCAGAGGGTTGGTGGAGAACTAGCACATTAACTCCTAGTCAGCTATGTTGGGGGGCTGCTGTCCAGGCCCCGGGGTGCCGCTTGGGCTGCTGAGGCCCCTCAGGCTGGACTGGGCAGGGACCTGGAGCTGCAGGGAGTCTGTTCTCCATTGAGTTGGAGAATTGTCAAGAAGGTGACTGTGGTTCTCCCGTCATGTTTACTTAAGGCTTATTAATTCAGCTGTTGTTTGCTAGCCATTTGTTTCGGCTGACAGGCTGGCGCTCTGACCTCAGGGAACATACCTTTTAGTTTTAGGGGATAGGTTAAAAACTGTAACAGAACAGACGGAAGAGATGAATGACCAATTCTGGCAAGTGTAGTGGAAGAATCAGAAGAGGGCGGGGTGGGCACTGAGATTGATGGGTGCACTTAAGATGGGGCTGGAGGGCTTCTGGAGGAGCAACATTCCAGTGGAGACCTCAAGGGGCGGCCCCCTGGGTGGGGGCAATGGGAAGAGGTTGTAATTCCAGGAACCAGTGTCTGAGAGCCCCCTGGAGTTTTCCCCCTCTCCCTGGTTCTTGGAGGGATGCGGGGAGCACCGCCCGGCGCAGCACAGGTGCAGGGAGAACGGCTGAAGCCGAGGGAGGGGTGAGAGGCCCCCTACAGGTCGATGGCCCATGTTGGGACTGGCCTTTCAAGGTGGCAGCCCCCAACTGACAGGACCCAGTTGGCCTAAAGAAGTGCGCTTTCACTTTGTGCTGAAAGGGCTTTAGGGCGGGAGTGGAAGCAGGCCCCCCGGGAAGACTGCGTGGAGGATGAGGGGTGGCAATAGAAGGGAGGGCGGGGTGTGCAGTAAAGATGCACTTTGAGATTAAGGTGGAAGAGCTCGCTGTGCTCAGAATGTGGGGAGAAGGGAAGGATCCGGGATGAGCCCAGGGTCTCTGGCCTGGGCTGGCTGGAGAAGCGCTTCCTGTGATGGGGTGTCGTGAGAGAGGTGCTCCGAGGCCCCCGGGGGCATGTCCAGAGCGGTGGCCATGTGCCAGGCGGTGGGTGAGACATGGGAGCGCTCAGCCAGAAGCTGGTGTGAACGTGTTCCCATGAGTTCACAAGGTCAGGTAGTACTGAGAAGGCGGGGGGGGTTGGGGGCGGTTCTTGACTCAAAACTGGAGAACACTAGTTCTTAGTAATTATTTACTTTCCTTATGTTACTTTGTGGAATATAACTTTATTTCTAAAATTTTCTAAGTGTCTCAGTTTTGCAGAGGTAGGAAAACCATTTATTAAATGAAAAAGGGAAAAAAGTAGGTAATTTGCAAACGTGTTGAAGAAAGTAAAAAGGGATATAAAGAATTGGCTTTCCCCTGTATTTGTTGAGTGATATTGTCAACTTACTACACGTATTCTAGTCGAGAATCCCTTCACCACTGGCGATGGCACTGTGGTTGGGATTTCAGGCTTTGGGTTCACTGGGTTTGTTCCCTTCAGGTGCTGTCATGGAAGAAGAGGCAGCAAAACTTCTTGGCGTGAAGATGTGCAAGTTTATTCCAAAACACACCCGGACCCTGGGAAATGAGTTTCGCTGTTATGTGAATTATGATTCTGGGCTAGACCATGAAATCTAAATGCAGATAGTAATATAATATGTAAAGGATCCTGTGTGACATTTCTCTCTTATTATTTCCTTGGTAGATTGAAAAGTTATAACCTCCTCCCCTCCCCTGCAAAGTGGGGCTCTCCCTGGCCTAATTTTCATAATAAAGAATATAACATCTCATTATGACTTCCTGACTGCAGGCATCTCTAGAACTCGGGATGCTTTTGCCAACTTGAATCCATGGAATTATAGTGGGAAGAAATCTTAGAACCTATCTAAAATCTGCTCTCCTCACCTAAGAACAGGTAAAAAACCAAAGTACAAACAGCTTAGTGGCTTGGCCAAGACCTGAATTAGGACCTAGGCCTCTGCCTCAGGCCGTCTGCCCCCTTAATGGGCCATTCCGACTCTACCCAGTGGACCGCTGATTGTTCACAGCCCCTTTCCTGGGGTGTTGTAGGACTTGTGAAGGGGCCCATCATCTGCTCCAGCCCCTCAAGGAGACACGACTTGCCTCCATGAAAGAAGTTGAGAATCATCCTTGGAACTAGTATCTGAACGCCTCCTGGATGTTTCCTCCTCGCCCTGGTTCTTGAAGGGACGACAGGAACGTAGCCCAGGTGCCCTCTGTGTGCACACCGCCCCTGCACCCTTGGCTAAAGCCACAGCAATGCTCCAGGCCCCGGAGAAACTAAAACTGCCATCTGCAAACCAAACACTGTAGCAAAAAGGACATGAGAAGCATGCTAGACTATTCTATTTCAAAAATTATCCATCATTCATCCACACCACAGCACATTACTGATACCTGCAACTTGGATGGCTTTCAAGGGCCTTGTGCTGAGTGAAAAAAGCCGGTCCCCAAAGCTTACATACTTACTATTGATGTAACATTCTTGAATGGAGAGCAGATTGGTGGTTGGCAGAGGTTAAGGGGGTGGGGGAGGAGGCGGGGTGGGACCAGAAAAGGGAGATCTTAGGGGAAGTGCAGCTCTTGTGTATCTTGATTGTGCAGTGGTTACACACAACTCCACGGTTGGCATTACACAGAACCTGCACACGCACGCAACACTGGTGACCTCTGAGTGAGGTCTGTGGGTGCTGCACAGCAGCCAGTTCCTGGGGTGATTCTGTGCTTGGTCAAGATGTTCTCATTGCGTCAACTGGGTAAAAGACCTCTCTGTAGTGTTTTTGTAATTTCCTGTGAATCTAGAATCATTTCAAAATAAAAACTTTAAAAAGGGGGGGAGGTGAAGAATAACACTTCCCCACCTCAGGTGACTTGCTTTGCTAACAAAACATGAAAGGAAGTGCCAAGCAGAGCTTTATTTTCTCTGTGACATGGCTACCGGCAGTTTTCCACACACAAGCAGGTGCTTGAGTGGAGCGGTGGGCCTGCAGTGGATGTGGAGGGTGAGCAGGAAATACACGTCTGCTTTTGAAAATCAGAGACTGTGGGATGGTTACTGCAGCGAAAGTGCAGCCCGTCCTGGAGAGCCTGGTGCCCTGGCACCAGCACTCAGGAAATGGGGCATCCGGGGTTGGGGGGGAGCTTGCTCCCGTCTGTTCTTTCTTAGCCTTCGACGGTCCTACTTTGGGATAATTTTTAATTTACTTTAAAAATCACTTGGTATTTTTATGAGACATTTATATTTTTATCAGTATATCAGCACCTGGCACATGTGAAGTATTCAATAAATGTTTGTTCTTTAAAAAATACCCCCTACCTTCTTATTTCCTCATGAGTCAGTTCACTAAAAATTATCTAGGCCAGTAACAAATTTTAGTGACAAATCATTTATGGAAATGTCATGTGTGACTTAGGAATTGGGGGCAAGCAGCAGCCTAGAAATACAGAATTGTAGTTATCCTAGAAGTCTAGCATTTCAAAGAGGAGAAATCTTATTTCTTCCTGGAGGGTGGGGGAGGGAAGGCCAGAGCTTGACTCATTAAACGTTTAATTACATTGTTGTATAGTAAGCAGCCAACATGTGCTTTATTGCTTTGGACCCCTCGTGATTTTAGCAAACCTGTGTCCACATGTGATCCACTTCTGGATCTCATAAGAGGTCTGCTGCTCTGCCTCTGCAACCCTCAGAACAGGAGTCAGGGCTGCGGTGCTGCCTGACAACACGCAGGGCAAGGGAGCCCGGGCTGCGGGGGGGGGGGGGTGGACACACACGAGGACACGTGGGGGTGCGCTGCATGGCGCGCTTCACAGAAGCTTCCTGACTTCTTAGGAAGCAGCCTCACCTTTTCCACCCGACCAAAGCGCTTCAAAAACTCAAAAGGATATTTTAAGAGACACCTTTTTAAAGTCCTTGCTAATTTCAGAGATTTGCACTGAGACAGAATAACCATAGCGTGAGTGGAAAGAGAAAGGATAGTAAGTTCCGTGTTGCTGACAATTCAGAAGTCCATACAGTGACCTCGCGGGGTTGTTTGGGGGTGATGGGGAACCCTGACAGCTGGAACAAATGAAATGCCAGAGTCACTTGGAAGCCCCATTTCCCATGGGAACGTCACGCTCTTCCCTTCCATTCCTCTCTCAAATCAGAGCAGACTCAGCGATGACCCTTTTCTCCCTTTGCCTTGCTAAAAGACCTGCAGCAAACCGAGAAGTTTGGGTAACTGGACCCTGAATGTGGAACTGTTGGCATTTGTGATGGGTTTTGGTTGATATTCCCAAATGATTCTGTTTTTATCAAGCAAGCATACAGTAGATATACTGTCAGTTGGCTGGAAAAAGTCTTCAGTAACCAGCAAGGTACATCCAGTCCGAGGGCTGCCTGAAAGCCCTCCAGATAGAATTACTTGGAGGAAACGTCGGCCCTGTGGCCCTTCTTGGAGAGGAGGGAAGAAGCCATGAAATTCCCACTAGCAAAGTGGGCTGCTCCGTGAAGCCTGGGACTGAAGAGGCCAGGCCCACGTGGCGCCGCTGCGTTCACTGTGGGCACCGGTGAGCCGGGTGCCTAGGCCCGCGCGGGAGGGGCCGCTCCTCAACTCCAGCTGGCCGGACTGCTGTGGCCGGCAGCTTCCCCAGAGCTTTGATAAAACACAGTAACAACCTCTCTCTGCTCCTGAACACCCCGTTAGTATAACAAGGGAACAAAATTCTGCCCAATACCAGGGTCTCCCCAGACCGTATCGCCACCCTCTCCCTCCAACATACTTTTTTCAAGTTTTAATTTTAATTCCCATTAGTTAACATTCACTCCAACATATTCTATCTGGTTGCTGCTGCCTAGGGATAGATTTTTTAACCTTTTATACAAAAAGTCATTGTAATGATCTATCCTTGCTAAAGCAATAAACATAACATAGAAAGAATAGCTTGATATTTTCAATGTAGCTTATAAATCACTGCGGCCAGTATGTTCTCATACCTCCTATGTGCCAAGCGCTGTGCTTTACAGAACACTAGTTCTTAGTAATTATTTACTTTCCTTATGTGTGCGGTCCTCACAGGGACTGAGGGAGGCGGCACCATCCATTTATAAGGGAGGAAAATGTGGCTCAGATTCATGGGGCCGCACTCCTTGTGAGGAGGGGCCCACCAATGCCTAACTGTTCTCTGACAGCCCGTGCAGGGTCTGCTTTTGGCCGAGGTTGGAGACTGTGCCTGCTTCACAGATGGCTCTCAGGGGCTCCGTGCCTGGAACAGGGCAAGTGCTCAATAAATATTAAGTGGGTGAATATTCCATTCAGAGAGAAAACACAAAGAAAGGTTGCCTTTCCGGTTCTATAGAACGGAAAGCTAAATTTCTTCCACAGGGAATTTGCTACATTTTCACAAGCTAATTAGTTAAACTAATAATAAAAATAAAACAGTGATAGTTTCCCCAAATGTCTACTCTCCTTAAGTCTAGTCTCCTCTGATGTTTGCACTATTAATATTTGAGTAACTGGAAAATGTTTCCCAACAGTGGCAATGAATGTAACGATTACCCAAGCCACTGGTTTAAAAGCAGTTTTTCCTAATTTATGGGTTTGATATTATTTTTGAGCTGGCAGTGAAAGATTGCTCCGGACAAGAATGTATTCCAGATATACTACCACTGGGGATACCTTTTTTTCCACACACACCACTCCCCCAGAGATTGAATGCAGAAGTAAAATTCCCCAGATTGTACAAAACTGTCCATAGCTAGCACTTTCAATTTTGAATTTCTGAATTTTTGGAAAATCTGGATTTTGCTCAGCAATGTATTTTTCACATACAACCTCTGTCAATACAAGTTGAAAGTTCTCTCAGTGAACCTTCCATGTAGATCAAACTAAGGCTAATACTTGGTAACTAAGGAGCTAAAGCTCTGTTACTGACAGCTGAAGTTTGAGAGTGAAATACATATAAATAGGGGCGCCTGGGTGGCTTAAGCGTCTGCCTTCAGCTGGGGTCATGATCCCAGGGTCCTGGGATCGAGTCTCGAGTCGGGCTCCTTGCTCTGCAGGGAGCCTGCTTCTCCCTCTCCCACTCCCCCTGCTTGTGCTCTGACAAATTTAAAAAAAAAAAATCTTAAAAAGAAATACATATAAATAAGGGACACTTCTTGGCTTGGTTGGGGTGTCACAGAAGAGAGACTGACTTTGTAGGAGTAGTTGATCTTTCAAAGACCAAATCAGATCTTAATTTAAACTTCAACCATAAAATTAAAGTGAAGACTAAAATAGTTTCCTCTAAAAATGAGTGGAGCCCAGAGAGAAATGCACGCAGCCAACATGCCCTTCACCTACAATTGCTTTAATCATTTAAAAAAACTTGTCACTTTTACAAATAATTGTGTTCAAGGACAAATTTCCAGGCTACAGAAGAGAGTATGGTTTTAGCTCACACTGAAGGATGTAGAAAAAGAGGCCCCCAGTACTGATTTCTGGAAATCGTAAGCTGGCTGTTTCTATTTGGCTAGTTCCTGAAGCCCTTAAAACTAAGCTAAGACTTGGACTCTTCTGAGAATTGACAAAGATAGCACATTCCACCTCTCGCCCTGTCCCACCACCTCTTATTTGGCCCCACTTACTTTCAAAAGTGAAAAAGTATTTCATTGTACACATCTGTGGCCATTTATACAGTCACGAACAAACCACGTTTGAGGTTTCTGGAATCCCTGGCTGGCCCGGGGTGAGCTGAGCCTCCTGTGCTTCTCTTTTATTCATGGAGCAGCCTGTGAAAATCTTCACTGGAGGTCACATTCAACCCTGTCCATT